ATGAGCCGCACAATTGGCATGGAATTTTTATTTAAAATTATTTTACAGTATTTAAGTAAAGTGTTGTGTGTTGTCATCATTGTATGTTCCCATACAATGGCAAAATTGGTTCTCTGAATTTAACCCATCGCACCTGGGATACACCCAGGTGGATCAGTGGGCAGCTATGTAAGCACCCGGGGAGCAGTTGGGGATTGGGTGTCTTGCTCAGAGACACCACAACGTGAGAATGGCTGGGGATCGAACCTGGGGCTTTCGGGTCCCGAGTCGGCTGCCCCGCCTCTACCATCTCGGGGCCCATTTAGCACCTGCTGCACCTGTGTGCAGCCCACAAGCTGCAGGAGAAGCTCCCTCCTGCAGCTTGCCATGATATCCGCTCTGCAGTGGAGAAGTGGGCGTTGCTCACATCTTCTGGCAGGTGGCAGAGAGCAGTTGGTGGCAGAGAGCTGAAATCATGACATTCTTTGCTCTTTTAGAGCATTTAGAGCTTAGAAACATTGTTTAGAATATTGCAAAGGTTTTCTTTCTGCAGCTGTGCAGCCTCCATGCCACACGTTGATGCTGGAGCACAGGATGCTCTCCACTGCACACCTGTAGAAGGAGGTGAGGACTGAGCTTCCCAGACCAGCTCGTCTCAGCTGCCTGAGGAAGTAGAGTCTCTGATGAGCTTTCTTGATCAGGCTGGTGGTGTTGTTGCTCCAACTGAGGTTGTCATTCAGGTGCACACACAAGTACTTGTAGCTGGAGACCACTTCCACTGCAGATCCTCCATTGTTTGGCAGGACGGGGACGGTGTTTATTCTTTCTAAAGTCCACAGCCATCTCCTTCGTTTTATTCACATTGATGTGAAGGTTGTTTGTCCTAATAATAATCTTCTTAAAGAGCCATGTCAAAGTGACTATAGGTCTTTGTATAACTTGCTGGATGAGTTTTGATTAAAATGTTTGGAAGCATTTGTTTAATGTACAAATTAAAAAACTATCACCAGATTGGAACTTTTTAACATAATCTTCAAAATAAAATGTCATGTTTAACTATTTAGGACAGGATTTACTAATTGTTCACTGACCAGGGAGGGTGAGGGGACGTTATTTATGCCTCCATATTTCACTATATTTTTTACCATACAGTGGCG